TGTTTTCTGAGAGCACAAGGAATGGACTTAGAAACCAATAGCCAAAAGATAGGTGAAAAATACCTAAGTGTTTGGAAATTAAACAACATAATTCTAAATAACAAATGGGTCAAAGAAGAAGCTTGAAATTTTTTAAAAATTTGGACTAAATAAAAATGAGAATTATCATTATTTATGGGATGACTCAAAAGCAGTTGCTCGGAGGAAAACTTATTGGATGCATATATTAGAAAAGGAAAATTGTTTTAAATGAATAATGTAAGCTTTTACATTATTTTACATTAATTAGAGAAAGAAGAGCAATTAAGCCTAAAGCAAATGGAAGAAAAAAATAGAAATTAGAACACGAATTAATGAAATGAAAAGCAAAAGCAATAGAAGGAAAAAGTAAAAAAACAAGCAAACAAAACAAAACAAAACAAAAAAACCCGTAAATGCTGCTGCTTTGAAAAGTTAATAAGTTTGGTGACTCTCTAGCTAGGCTGATCAAGAATAAAAGAGATAAAATACAAATTACCCATACCAGAAAAGAAAGAGGGGTCATCACTACTGTTCCCATGAACATTTAAAGGATAAAAACGATTATATGAAAAACATTATACCCACAAATTTGATAATGTAGATGAAATGCATTAATTCCTTGAAAGACACAAGCAACCAAAACTCACAAGGACAAAGAGTCTTGTTGGCCTATATCTATTAAAGAAATTATTTAAATTTATTAATTTTATATTTACATAAAGTATTTTATGTGAATGTTTATATGAATTATATAAGTTGTTTATATAAGTCATGTGAACATCATGTGTTTATGTAAATGTTTTATAAAATGTTTAGTTAATAAATATAAAGTGATTTCATATTATTAATAATTTAACCTCATTAAAGAGCACTAATTATAAGCTTCCCAGAGAAAGCATCTATATAGTTTAACTGATGAATACAGCTAAAATTTAAGAAATAGTACCTCTTTGCAATCTCTTTCAGAAAATAAAAGAGAGAACACCTATTTTATGAGACCATTATTACTCTAATACCAAAACCTGAAAAAAGACACTACAAGAACAAAAAGTTATTGAATAATATCTTTTAGAAATATACATATAATTTACAAAATGTTAGCAAAATGAGACTGACAGTGTATGAAAAAGAATTATACAATATGACCAAATGTGATCTACTCYAGGTATGCAATTCTGGTTCAACATAGTTTAATCCACCATATCAATAAGCTTAAGAGAAAAAAAATAAGCTTAAGAAGAAAAATCAACCCCACTTCAGTCATGAGAAAAACACCAAACATCAGTCAAGAGACATTATACAGAATACCTGACCAGTACTTTCAAAACTGACCAAATCTTCAGAAAATCTAAGGAACTATCGTAGTCAAGAGGAATCTATAGAGAAATAAAAAATGTAGTATTCTGGATGGGATGGAATAGTGAGTAAAACAAAAGAAATCTAAATAAAGTATGGGCTTCGAGTAATAATAATTCCTTAATTGTAGTAAATCTACCACACTAATGTAAGAAGGTAGTAAGAGGGGAAACTGCATTTGGGGTAAACTCCATTACCTCTGTATTTTTTCTGTAATCCTAAGTGGGTTCTAAACTTAAAGATAAATAAATAATATTTTATTCTGAGCCCCCTGCCCAGTTTTATTACTGGGATTGGAATGAAACACAAAATTGTTTTTCCTTCCTCATTAATCATTTAAAGTTAGAAAATATTGTAGTTTCCTTTTTATTGGTCCCTGTGGCTGGCCATCCGTCCATCCATCTAGAGTTCCTCCTGTGTGCCACCCTCTGGGACATAGAAGTGTATAGGAAGGTTGTAGCATATGAACCAGACCTGCATACAGTACAGTCAAGAAAATGGAGCAGACAAACACTTGAAGCCACTGTTGCCATTCTGGGCAACTGTTGCTACCTTAGTAGATGCTTTGGCCCTCCCAATATATTAGGAAGAGTTTTTCCWAACTTACCCTGCCAAAGGAAGTTGGCTCTTTTGAAAAACTGCCGGGTAGTGTGATTTTTTAGTGACCATGTCCCACCCCTCTTTTTAAATAGCCCTTCAAATATGGCCTTGGTCTTTTATCTTAAAAACCTCTCTTCTAGGATGCTTAGTATTTTGATGCTATTCAGTGTTGTACTTCAATGGCTTCTAGTAAATCAAAAGATGATGTCAATATTAGGAAAATATATTTGGGTCTCGTGAATTCTTTTGGGATGTTTCCCTTAACTGCTTATATGGAGGCTTTAGTCTCTTTCTTTCTTTCTTTTTTTTTCTTTTTTTTTTTTTTTTTGGTGCTTAACCCTGAGCTACACCCCTAGTCCAGCCCATTTTATTTTTTTTATTTAGACATAGGATCTTGCTAAGTTGCTTAGGGCCTTGCTAAGTTGTTGAGGCTAGCTTTCAACTTCTGATTCTCCTATCTCAGCCTTCTGAGTTGCTGAGGTTACAGGTATGCACCACTGTGCCTGGCTTCAGTTCTTCCCTTTGCTTATCTTATTTTTATGTTTTAAGGGCCAGGCTTTAGGCACTCACCCATTCATGTATCAATGGACAGATATGATGAACTCATGAGGTAACTATCCTAGTARCACATGACTACTGCAAGGCCTTTGCACTTTCTTTTTCCCTGGTTGTAATGCTCTTTCCCTAGATTTCCTTCATTCAGTAACTATTTGAGTTCCATTGATCAGAGATGCTATCATGACGACTCTTTAAATAAAACTGCCTCTCCTCAACTTCATCACTCTGACTCATTACATTGTGTTACGTTTCTACAGAGCAACTATTTCCATTTGACATTTATTATATATTTGTTTATTGCCTTTCTCTTCTAGAATATCTCTTCACAAGGACAGGTTTTTTTGTTTTTTGTTTTTTTGGTCTATTCCAAGCATTTAGAATGAGTTCAACACTTAATAAGCACTCAGCAAGTATTTGTTGAATGACTGTCTGTATGGTAGGCATGTCTCCATTCTTCCTAGTAACCTACAGACCCAAAGAAAAGAAGGCTTCCTGTGACCTCTTCTGATATGTCAAGAGTTTCCCTGGTATCTACACAGATTGCACACCTACCTCAGGTCTTTGCTTCATTTATATTTGTATAATACTTGACAGTTTTTTTCATACAGATTGTATCTTTTGATAGTCTTGTATAATACTCTGAAGCAAGTAGGAATTTTTTAGGCCTATTTTATAMATGAGGAAGGTAAGGAGATTGAATTTGCAAGGTGACTTCTAGCTCACCGATTGATCTGTGTTTTTCCTCTACCTGTATCTTGAAAATATGATTTTAAGAAAAGAGCCTGAATTATTTGTTTTATATTTTCCATGTGCCTGTTCACAGTATGTTTTATAAAGGGGTATCTGCCTGAGACTTTTAGTGCACAGAACTGTTGTGGAAGTAATTTTGTTCAAATGAAACCAGAGGGGAAAGTTTTGGCTGCYTTTTCCTGTAGATTCCGTCTTTCATGGACCTTCAAAAAGACTCTCATATTAGTTTTAGTGTGGTTTCACAGATTTGGTGGACTAGGGCTGTGAATTTGTACATGAATCACTTGGGAACCTTCTTTATGTTAGAGTCTGAATCAGTTGATTTTAATTTACATATAAAATTATACATATTTATGGAGTACTGTGTGATTTGTTTTTTCAGTACATGTATACCTTGGTTAATGTTCAAGTCTAGATAAATATGTCTATCTCCTGAAACACTTATCTTTTCTTTGTAGTGAACACATTAAAAAACCTAACCATTAGCTTTGTTTGTTTGTTTAATATACAGTATACTTCCATGATCTACAGTCACCTGGTTGAACACCAGGTCATATTTCTCTAACTTAATGTCTGTTGACCTTTCCCTGTCCCCTTCTTCCCTACTTTCTCTAGTGGTACCATGGTGCCTGCGCATCACTCACATTTTGAGTATTTCAGGGGTAGGTATCCATATGAAAGATGGATTCTTTATTTGGGTGACCTTCATAAATGAGGAAGTTTCTTAGACACATTGTATGTATCTAAAATTCTACATGTGCACACATTCTTACTATGTGACCTCATGTGAGTTACTTCACTTTCCTGTGCCTTCCTTTTCTCTTTAAAGATGGAGCTCCTAGGTGAGATACTGGGCAATGAAATTGACCAAATTATATTGCGTGCATGTATGAATGTATAACAGTGAATCCCACTATTATTTATAGTTGTCATGCACCAATTTAAACATTTTAAAAAAATAGAAAAAAAGATGGAGATGATATTAGTACTTAGTGAGCAACAGTGGTTGTAAGGATTGACTGAGCTAATAATTGTAAAGTACCAGATTTATAATGCATAGCATGCAGCACTCAATGCATCTTAGCTATTGTTATCATATTGTTATCATTTCCTTCTGTCCTTGTGCTATTAAATATATCTTAAATAGATTTAAGATATATTTGAAAGAAGGAAGTTGTTAAAATATTTGCAAAGTATGCAATAGCATGGTGTCATTAATGAAAATCCTAATCTGGTTGGAAGACACCATGCTTTCATTAATGAACAATGCAGTAGAAATCAGCTCATGGTGATTATTATTATTATCATAACTGTGCTGTGTACTTTCTATCAAGCATGGGAAAGTGAGTATCCCAGCTTTATGGTAAAGTGTCATGATATGTGATCTTAAACACAGGGCATAAATTGTTTTTATTCATCTCATACATTAAACAGACCATACTAATTTTAATTGTGGTGTGGAAATATGGAGGCAAGAGTTCCAGAGGTCCCTGAGAATTTATTTGGCAACTAGATTAATTCATTTGATGGTAAGAAGGGAAAAAAATACGGACAAAAGTATTTTAAAGGTAGATTTTAGTTATAGTTTTTCAGATAATTAATGAAAAGTAAAGTTGTGTTCCTCAGGGGAAAAAATTTACACAATTCATTTCTTTCACTGACTTAAAATAAAAAATAAGTTTTTAATTAACATGGGAGTTTTTCTTTTGTTTTAGGATCAGATTTTATTAAGACCTCTACTGGAAAAGAAACAGTAAATGCCACCTTCCCGGTAGCTATAGTAATGCTACGGGCCATTAGAGATTTCTTCTGGAAAACTGGAAACAAGGTATATTATTGCCAGCAAATCTTTCTTCAGAGTAAAGATAATGTTATTTATAATACTTGTTACAGCTACCAYGATAACTGTCTTTTTATGCAGAAGGTGTGAATGAGTTACCTTTAGTAAGATAAATGTTTAATTTACCTTTCATTATGAAAGAACACATTTATGGGGAAAATGTGCGATTAAAGAAAGTGAGTGTGAGTGTGGGAGTAAGTATGTGTGATCAAGATGTAAACTTGCTGCGTGTCCTTTTATTAACCGAAGACAATTTTATCACTGACAAGAGATTCCTAAATGGGTTCTTTAACGAACTAATTCTGCTGCAACACAGAGCTTTCTGGCAAGGCGTTGGCCAGTGAAAACAGGTTAATGCAGAAATTAAACTTCCTTGAGGAATGGAAAGAATTGCAGAGTAACATTTATTGAATGATAAGCTGTGGTGGTGATATGAAAAGTATGCAATATAATGGGAAATAATCTTTTCCTGTCATTATTGAAGGACACACATAAATTGGTTTTTCTGTTGGGAAACCCCCGGTCCAGAAAAACTTATTACTTTTAATAATATGAGGTGAAGAGAAAATTCTCGAGGAGATGAACTTATTAAACAAAATAATGAAATGCTGTGAAACAGCAGGGAAAAGGTAGCTAGACGTTATATAGCTCTTGAATTAAATATCCATTTTTGCGTTTTATGGCAGTTGGATGTGCTCTTTGGAAGACTGTTAAGCTGAGGAGGGTATATGCTAGCTTTTGTCAGCTTTTCGAAAAATAATACATATTTTTTGAAACATATGAAGTTAAAAGGGAAAATGTGTATGAGGTGTTTTTTAAAAATGAATTTGGATTTTTCTTTTCACTTCAAATTACTTGTGTAGCTGCATATTATCTCAAAGGATTTCTTATATCATTGGAGAGAAAGATGAAGAGAGAATGTGTGTGTGTGTGTGTGTGTGTGTGTGTGTGTGTGTGTGTGTGTGTTTAATGTGACTTTCCCTTCCTGAGGGGCATCTTTTAAAAACAGTCTCTTGATTTCTGCCAAGTAGGACCCCCCAAAAGACCTTTAATCCTTCACCAACTGGATACTATGACGGTATATGTGACTGTAGTTTATTTTGGAATTGGATTTTTTTTTTTTTTTGGAATATACTGGTTGTAAGGGGAAATAAACCCCCTTTTCTCCCTCAGAATAACCTCACATCTAAAGTACAAATAGAATAAATATTTATTGTGACTTGCATATAACAGCACTTCCAATTTGAGTAATCTGTACTTGAAAGTCTTTCTGCAATGATAAGTTAAAGAAAATAAGTTATATCTGCAAATAAGTTAAAGAAAAACATGTGTAAAGAAAGAAAGAAAGAAAGAAAGAAAGAAAGAAAG